TTTCCACATTATTCAGGATCCGCTTAACTAAAACTTTTTTGTAGTGAACTTTAAGGGACCTTATGAAGCCCTGATCTATCGGTTGCAGAACAGTTGTGCAATTGGGGGGTAAAAAAATAATTTGAATGTTTTCTGAACTGAATAAACTTTCGGATGAGCTGTACAATTGTTAATTAAAAGAATCTTTCGACGTCCCAACTCTCCGTCCTACTTCAAAAGTTCTCCACTAAAAATCTTTGTTATCATCCACGATTTTTTATTAAGTTTATATGTGACAAGAAGCTGATTCACACCTCTAAAACATCGTGGTTTTTGAGATTTCCCAATGACGAATAACTTGCTTTTTTCGGAACCGGACAGGTTGGCATACGCGAGTACAGTTACCCTTTCTTCTGATAACTTGCCACCTATACAACGTTCATGTTTGAGTTTTAGGTTCTTATGTCTCAGCTCGTCGGCATTGAACACATTATCGTCACTCTAATTTCATCTTATTGTAGGCCCTGACTTCAACCAGTTGTCGGTGACTTCTTTAAAAACACTCTCCGCTTCACCGCAAATTCTTCCACACGTAATTTCGTGCCTAGCCTTAAAACGGCTCATCCAGCAAATACAAATATAATTCAAACACAACTTCATCATTACTTTCAATAATAACTTGCGTGTCATTTTCAAATACAACTTCATTATTACTGTTAATAATAACTTGCGTGTCATTTTCGTCTGTAACATCTATAGGTGTAAGTAGAACAGCAGTATCATTGGCCCACAGTGTTTTGAGATTTTTTAATAGATTAAACCTTTCCTCAAATAACATGCCTGTACATTGTGCAGCTAAATCTGCTAGTTCATTGCATAACAAAAGTCATGTTTTTCTTCTTTGTGCATAGGAACTTGGTGGAAAGGATAAGTGGAGTTTGGGAAAAAAAAATTTTTAAAAACATTTTTTTAAATAACACATATAACCGCCTGGAATACATTAACGCTAAATTAAAATCAGTTGTAACCAAAAATAGTCCTTTGGAACAGTTTATTAACAGCTTGTTTACAATTATTTCAAGTTTAGAGACAGAGAGGAGTCGTAAGGCAGTTTATGGTATTTTAAAAAGACCCGTCGATATGTTTCCGGAAGATTCTGATGAAAAAAAAATATTTTACATTGCTCATACGTGAAGCCTCGAAGCATGTTTTAAGAGAAATTCGTAATTCTAAAGAAATCAGAGATATTACAATTTTTGCAGACGATGATTACATCATTACCATTTTGTTACGAATTTAATCCAGTTCCATTATAATTTACAATAAATAGGATTTTTCATTAAACATTTTGAAGAAACACAAAATTTAATTTTTTCTATTCGAAAGTACCCTCTACCCATGACAATTAAAACTAAATGCAGTTATTTTATAGTAGATGTAAATTAATTTATCCACACTCTTTCTAATGACACTAATTTCGTTAAAATCGGTTGTTCCAAACCAAAGTTATAGGTATTTATCCACAAATACTTTCCCACTCTCCCCCATCCTTTATTTGAAAAAATAAAAAAGTACTTGAACAACTTTGTGCAGACTTTAGGCCATTTTCTAGTTTACTTATTTAACACTTGGTATAATTGGGCATGAAATACAAAGAAGGATGAAATACAAAGGAGGATAGGTCTCACATGGGCTGCCTTTGGTAGATTGAATAACATTTTCTTAAAAAGAAAGATTTTTAACCAGTGCGTTTTACCGGTTGTTACATATGGTGCAGAAACAATGACTCTGACAAAAAGAACAATAGATAAAATAAGAGTTACACAACGCGCTATGGAAAGATCAATATTAGGTATTACCATCAGAGATAAAGTACCAAACCTAGAAATAAGAAGAACAGGAGTCACAGATGCAGTTGAAAAAATAGCCAGGGCTAAATGGGCTTTTGCCGTACATGTTTCCAGATTAACGGATGACAGATGAACCAAAAAGATTCTGAAATGGCGACCAAGGCAAGATGCATATCGAAGCAGAGGACGACCACCGACTAGATGGACGGATGATATCAAGCGCATCACCACAAACTGGATGCAAGAAGCTCAAGACAGAAATAGGTGGAAAATTTTACGGGAGGCCTACGTTCAGCAGTGGACAAATATAGGCTAATTGATGATGATGACGATGATAATTGGGTATATTTCCCAAAAAACTGGTTTTAAAAGCCCAGTTGTTTTTCTTCACATGTTACGCCCCAAAACATGTTTTTCTTCACATGTTACGCCCCCTAGCGGTTAACCCAGAAACTTGAAAGTTATTTCCAGCGATTTCTCTTGGCCACTTTTACTAAGGAATTTTTTCTCCTAAAGTTATAACATGAATAGTTTCATAGAAAAGACGAGCAATCGATGATGGCTTCTAGTCCAGTTGTCAGAGAGTTGACCCCTAAAAATCATACGAACAAGCTAAATTTTGCAGAGAATATTAACTTTGGGACCCCAACAAAGGTGCAAAAAAGTTTACCACTTTTACCTCCGGGCTTCCCTCTAAAACCCCCTTGCAAGGGGGTAAAAACTTGAAAAAATTGATTTACCAAGAATCTGTACACCGTAGAAAAAAAATGTAGCTGAGATAATTTTAAACAAAAATGTTTATAACCATTTTTTGTGTAGAATGAACGGTTCTCTTAGAAACAACGCTTGAAGCAACCGTCGATTTTGCATGTGAATTACGCGCGCGAAATCAATGTTCAATAAAATTGGTATCAGCTGGTAAAAATTCGATATCTTTTGATCCAAATGTCCCAAACGTGGCGCGATTTTTGCCACTTTTTACGATCCTTGTGAGATCAATAAAATTGATCGCTTTCATTTGCTAATTGTAGTAAACTTTTCATCTTTGGAGAACAACCTTTAAAACCTATGACATAAAATTTCAATTTTGATTTGTGGTAATAAATATTAGGCACTTGAAATATGAATAAAAAACGCAGAATTTAATCTTTTATATTACAAACGATCACACGTCACGGGAAATTAATTTAAGAAGACTGTTTTAAGTGTAGATTATTGCAGTAGTTTTGTTATTTTGAAAAACGTTCTAGTGTAATTGAATAAAAAAGTTTTAAATGTTTTAGATCATTTTTTATGTAAAAGTTTAAATCCAACGTGTTTTAAACATATTTCAAATCCACAAGGAATCTACGTTGCTGTAGTTGGCTGTATACTATATTAAAAAAATTATTAAAAATCCTTTGTAAAAGGTATATATTTAGACCCAAACGAGCTAAGTTAAAAAGACAAATCGATTTCGGAATCCATATTCTATCATCAGTGTCTAAGAGTACATGAATGTAGCCACTAAATATATGGGTAAAAACCCGTTAACAAATAATTAATTACATTTAGTTTACAAATTTTCTTATAATGGTTTAGGATGTTAAAGTTACCGTTGGATTAGGTAACATGGCGACATATGACTCTACGTTGAAGTTGTTAGTCTTGAGACAGTGTGTCTACGAAGACTGTATATGGGAGCAACTGAATGGCAATGACATTAATGACAATCAATAATGACATACATTTCATGCTCCGTGCGTGACCATGGTAGGGGTACATTGAAACGATACCAGCGTGCGTAGCGGCGAAATATGACAAAATTGGAATATTGGACAAAATATTTTTACGCATAAGTTTTATAAAAAATGTGTGCAAATACATGTTGCGTATTTAATTCTGCTAATAATAGCAAAAACAGTGAGTGTAGTTTTTATAGGTTCCCAAAGATTACATATAAATTAGAGAAAAGAAAAAGATGAATTCGTGCTATTAATATGAAAAAGTAAATATCACATAATTTCATTTTTATGCAATTGAAATAGAAACAATTTAAATAATTTACCTTGAATGATATTTCATAAGGCTTCAAGCTAACTGCAGATGACTTTAGCTTTTATATCATAACTTTTACTATTATTGTTTTTAATTATATGCTCTTTTGCGTGAAAAACTTGATTTGCCAGTACTAAATTTTTCGCTTTCTTTTCCGTTTGGAGTTAAAAAGATATATTATGATCAATTTTGAGAAACTCAGTTTTTAATACTACATTTATTTTGTACATAAACTGAAAAAATATAGTTAAAAAACTAATTTATTAATAATTAACATAATAAACATATGTCATATATTTAACCTGAAAATTGGGACTCCAAAATTGTCAGATGAAGGCGGTAAGTGTCGCATCAGTCACGCACGGAGCGAATAGCTTTTAAAGCTTAGGCTCTAGTAATTAAAACTTCATAGTGGCCAGTCAATAAAAGGAATCAATGAAACTGACATCGCAAAAACGCAAAATCGACGGTCGCTTCAAGCGTTGTTTCTAAGAGAACGCTTTTTTCTGCGCAAAAAATACTCATAAACATTTTTGTTTAAAATTATCTCAGCTACATTTTTTATTTGAAAAATTTTTTCTACGATGTACAGATTCTGTGTAAATCGATTTTTTTGCGTTTTTATCCCCTGCTAGAGGGGTTTTAGGGGGAAGCCCGGAGGTAAAAGTGGTAAACTTTTTTGCATCTTTTTTGGGGTCCCAAAATTAATATGTATGGCGAACTTCGGCTTGTTCGTATGATTTTTAGAGGTTCAGTGGCATTTTCGTCTCTGACGACAGGAGTATTCTAAATAAAATCTATAAGGTAAAATGTTAATCCGTATACCTGTATGAACGTTTCTTCAACAAGGGCTTATTTCATGTAAACCGGAATGTAAAATATTCAATAAGCTGTTCTACCTGCTTCTAATTCTAGTAACCCATAAATAAATACTCATAAACCCATCTGTAAGCTGTAAGTTACTATACTACATAAATACCACAGTGCCACTTAAGCGTATGACTTGTATTTCACCAAATACTATGTTAACTGATAAAAATCTATCTACAATGAACCTGTAATTATCATTACAAATCGCCGTAAATACTCTTTTCGAAGAGATATTTATTTATACGTACTTTCTCATTACCACTAGCAACGTCAAAAAGTTATATTACAAAACAAGTGTCAAGGCTAAGTTAACATATATACATAATTTCTTATCTAAATTCATGATAAACGAAAAATATATTGTGTTTATGAAAATGGTTGTGAGTAGAAGTTTCTTTTCGTTCGGAAAAACCGTGGTAAGAAGATTTCAACACAGAGTAGATATAGTTGGGGTAAGTATTTCGAAAAAGAATTTCCACAAAAAAATTTAAACCTAGCTCATGTTTTAGTTACCCACTTTTATTTGCGGCACCCTTGTGACTTAACCAAGGTTAGCAACCATACTACAATTATAGTACACACACTATAATTACACTCATTTTCTACTATGTACTATCATGCCATTACAATAATCCTTTAATCTCCTATAATTTTCATAAACCATATTTTTAAATCAAACAATTAATTTCAAAATGTTTTTCATTTGGCGCCGAAATTAGGACTGTTGATACAGTACGGTGCGTTTCAATATAAGCGTAAGAAACATTAATTACTTCAATTGATGCATGTAAACATCTACAAACTACAGTACGACAAGAAATTGTGGAAGGTTACGAATAAATGTAACTTGAACGGCTAATTGTATAAGGTGCAATTCAAATGGATCATTTACTAATAAGGAAATCGGTTTTCAACATTGTAATAGCTCTCCATATATTTTAAGAGCGAATATGTGATCCTTTACACAGTAATGAGGCAGCTGTAAAGCTTAAATTCAAAAAAAAACTTTAATACTTCTAAACCCGTAAGTTTTCATACTGTAGATGTTTAAAAATGCGAGTTTTACACGCGCCTTTATCTAACCAATCACGAGTCAGTAATCATATTTTCAACAATCTGTTTTAAATTAAACTTTCAATTAAACACTTTAAAAAACAATTAATAACTATTAACCATTATTTAATGCGATAAAATTTTATTTGCTGAGTATTTTCTCAATCCAATTATACTTTTTTCAAATGTAGGGTAGAGTGGGGTAAAGTGGAATAGCTAAACTTTCAAATTAAATAAATTTTTCAATGTTTCGAAATATTTTTTTTAAAGGCATATCTTATTACAGTAACGTTTAAGATCATTATGTTGAATTATAAATTAAATTAAATCCGTAAATTTTTTGTTATACGTCAGACATTGTCTTTTTTCCAATTTGGCCCTCATGGTTGGGTAAAGTGACATATTCGGTGGTGTAATGTGATATGTAGCTAGCATAATAGGTATATAAAAATTATTTATAATGAACATGGAATTAAGAAAAATAACACAAAAAGTACCAATTCAAATATTAGTTACCAATGATAATTTAAAAATAATAACAATTGTAATTAAATTAAAACAACACTTTCGTCAGATATATCTGAACACACGAATGAGTGTTGGTGGTTTCTGTAACCCGCATTCCAAATGCGCATGGTATTTGCTATATTCTGGCCGTTGCTAATGGATCGCGTTTGTCCTTCAACGATCTTAAACAGTCCTTGATTTTCTTTGTAGACTTGAAAATGGACTTTTTTAAGTAATATACATACTGTTTCTTCTATACATGCTGTTTCTTCGTTATTTCTTCTAGAAACGTTGTTAATCGCTTTATGTATTTCTCTTCTTGTATAGCCATTAGAGGTGAGCGCTTTTTCAATATGAAGAAGTTCACTTTACAATTGCTGTGGTTGACAAATTCTCTTCGCCTTCTCCCCTAGAGTTTTGATGATACCTTGTTTTTGGCCTGGATGATGATTTGAGTTCCTGTTTAGGTATCTGTCCGTGTGTGTAGGTTTTCGATACACTTTATGTTCCAAGTAACCTTACTTTCGATTTACTAATACATTTAGGAACGCTAGTTGTTGATCTTTATCTGCTTCCATCGTCAATTGAATGTTTGGATGTAGTGTGTTTATATAAGACAGAAAATCCTACATCTAGTGTGTTTTTTGTGGGAGACCAATTCCTTGCATACAGTCAATTCATAATATTGTTAAAAATTTTGAGAGTTGTTATTGCCTCAAAAATTGCACAAAACGTCACGCTAAAAAGATTGAAGGTGTAGAAAGGTCTACGAGAAAAACAAAAAAATGAAATCGCAACCAGCCTTTGTTAAAATATAGGCTTCCGCCTGTACCAAAGTCGTATGGTACGAAAAGAATAATAAACCACGTAAATACAAACAGAAAGTTGATAGACGGAAATAAAGTACCTACAATAATAAAACAACTTGGTGGTATTCTTCTTTTTTAATTTTGTTTTACCTTTGTAGAGACAATATTCCACTGAAGGACCTCTTTTTCCCGGAGCCAAAACAACATGGACGGAGAACCTGGAATTTACCGGATCTCATTCCTACAAACCCATTCCAGTTTACAGAGTCCTGGATAGACAGGGGAATGTTGTTAACCCCGAAAATGATCCAAAGTTGCCCGATAACATTCTAGTAAAGATGTACAAAGACATGACGCTACTAGGTGCATTGGACAAAGTATTATACGAAGCACAAAGACAAGGTGGGTAGTATCGTATTTCTCTACTATCTTTTTAGTATATCTATATTATAGGGGTTACACAGATCGTTAAATTTCCACCCTATTTGTAAACTCTTCCTTTCGTCTTCATTTATGACTCTATCTCTCATATTTTTTTCATTCCCTTTGTCCATTCTACAGATCTATATTTTTTTCATGCCACGTTATTTATGGTACATAATTTAAAGCTATTTCAACTCACGTATATGTACACTTTCTCCACCAGTTTGAGAACAATTTGGTCCCTATTGAAAATATAAAAATATGCAAAAACATTATTTCTGATGTCCACTTTTTGTACACCAGTTTTCAGCTAAATAACAATAATCCTCTAGCGAGGGCGGACACAATCACTTGTATAAACTGCAAATTCCTTAACAGCTTTTTAATGATGATTTCGACAGGATTGAATTTTACGAAACAATAACGGGTTTAATATTTTACAAAATATTTACTTTACTGAGTGTACGTTTTTTCCTAATGGACATGTTAACACGCAAAATTGTCGCTACTAGAGTGATGAAAATCCGCGACATTTTAGGGAAGGTCATACACAGTATCCCGAGAAACTTTGGGCTGGTATTCTTGGGAATACTATTATTGGACCTTTAGTCGTTGGGAAACATCTAACTGGTGAACATGGTGAACATAGCTGGTGAGAACTGCTTAAAGAAATAATAAACCCGTTAATAACAACTACTTTAGAAACTCAAATTGATGCGGCTGTTAACATGATTTTGCAATGTAAAATAATGTCATACTTGTACAAACATCCGCTGGATGGACTGTAGATTGTTCCTGATCTAAGAAAAAAATGCTTAATTTTAGGTCAGTAGGTGTTCTTCTTCTCATATCCTTATATTACGTCCAAGAATTATCTCGGGTCATTCGATACTCGATACTTTTCACTAATCTCTGTGTTTACTGTTTCTGATATTAAAATTGAGTACTTAAATTTTTAGGACGGATATCTTTCTACCTGACCAATTACGGGGAGGAAGCTACCCAGGTTGGTAGCGCCGCAGCTTTAGATACCAGTGACGTAGTTTACGGACAATACAGAGAAGTGGGGGTGTTGATGTGGAGAGGGTATTCTCTGCAACAGTTCGTAGATCAGTGTTACGGTAATATCCATGATCCAGGACAGGGAAAACAGATGCCTGTACATTACGGAAGCAAAGAGCTGAATTTTGTAACAATTTCCAGTCCTTTGAGTACCCAAATGCCACAGGCTGCAGGTAAAATTCATATTTTTAATTATTAATAAAACAGTAAAATAAAGTACAAGTGATTAATAAATCAAATATTAAAATCTACAAGCTGTCCTGTAATAGGATTTACCTATTAATAGCTATTTAGTTGCACGGTGATGCTTCTCCTCTTCCTCCTCAATTTCAGAACAGTATTATTTGGGTTATTGAGACTCTCTGAACAAATCCCCTTCGTTGGCTCAGTGAAGATGTTCGTTCAGTTGTAATGGAAACACCAATAATAGTAGCAGAGTTTATTGATGAGACGTACACTGTGGGTATTGACCCGGATTACTTTGAGTAGAGACTGTTGCATTTGATCGCTGAAGACTATCAAGTTTGTTGAGTGAATATTGATTGAATGCTTCTCTAGGCAAGAGATATTAGTTTTATATAAATTTTAATTGGGTCAATATATTCGCGGGCCTCGCGTGATATGTGTGTCTAATTTATGTAATTTGTGTATGTTTCGGATATGCATTCTGAAGATTTGATATTGGACACTCGCTGTTGGAATTTTTTGTGTCATTCGTTAACATTGGAGGGAATGTGATATATTAAATTTTTTATGTTTTAAAACATTCTTTTATTTAAAACTTCAGTTCTTATAAATTTTATGACAGTAAAAACAGAAATAAACTTAAGTTTGCTGTGGTGTTTTTTAGTCTATCTGTCTGTTGTTCTAACTTATAATCCATATTATTTATTTTTAAATCTATACTACGTTTTAAACAACACTATTCTTTGTTTCCAGGTTCTGCGTACGCTCTTAGAGGAAAAAACAGAGTTGTAGCATGCTACTTCGGCGACGGGGGAGCATCAGAAGGAGATGCGCACGCAGCTTTTAATTTCGCTGCTACTTTAAACTGCCCCGTCATATTTATTTGTAGAAACAATGGTTACGCTATCTCGACTCCAGTTGAGGAACAATACCAAGGAGATGGAATTGCAGCTAGAGGTCCAGGATATGGAATTAATACGCTAAGAGTGGATGGTAATGATGTTTTGGCTATGTACAACGTGACCAAGATGGCGAAAGAGTATGCTCTGAAGGAAAGCAAACCAGTTCTTATAGAAGCTATGACTTATAGGTATGCATTAATTTCTAAAATAGCCATACTTCCGTCTATTATATATAGGTTAGCTTTGTCTGTTGTGCTTTTGCAGGGTAGGTCATCACACGACTTCCGATGACAGTACTGCATATAGAGACCCAAAAGAAGTGGAGCTGTGGGCCAAAAATGACTATCCTACAGATAAACTGAAGTATTACTTAAATAACAAAGGACTGTGGGATGATAAGCAGGATAAAGAATGGATAGAGGCAGCTAGAAAGAATGTTATGGAGGCTTTTAAGGTTGGAGAACGGAAAATGAAGCCCAAGTGGGATATTATGTTCGATGAAGTGTACAAATATATTCCCGCACACTTAAAGTAAGTACATTGTTTTTAATAACAACCATAGTTAATTTTATATATTACGACTCTATCCTACGATTAATTTACAATTAAACATAAATTTAACATAACATTTATTTATTAATGTGTTTATAATTTTAGGAAACAAAAGACTGAAATGGCACAGCACCTGAGCACCTACAAGCAACACTATCCCCTTGACAACTTTGAATCGAAATAAATTGTAAAATAAAACAACTGCAGTTTTTCATTTATTACTAAAAATTACCAAAAGAATTGTATATCTGCATGTGACCACATTCCAATGACTTCCTTGATACTGTTTTACAGAGTACAGAATAACTCATTTAAACTCTATTAATTCACAATTCCACACATCAATTTCTGCCCAATTGCTGAGATTGCCGAGATTATTCCCGTAACATAAGCAGCCACAAACTTATTCAATGTGCTGGGGGCGTCCAATCGCGATTTGTAATGAATCACGCTCACAATTCTAGAATCAGTCTTCTCATTTATATGCGCCTGTTTAATTCAAGTATTAAGATTCTGAATCTTCTGTACAAATTTTGGCATTTCTATGCCAATTTTTCATTGCTTTCTTATCGTTTTCGCTTTTATGACCCTATTCAAATGTTTAGTAAGTCGTATAGTGATCTATTTTCTTCGTATTTGAGTATTTTATTCCCAAGAACGTCCACATTTTCAGCTGCTTCATTTTATTCGAAAAAATACACAGTGTATGACATAAACTATATTCATTTATTAAAAAACATGATTTTAAAATAGAATAATGAAGAATATAATCAAATATATATCAATAAGATACCACAATGTTAAATAGAATACAATTTCAACCCCAATTCATTGAAAAATTACTGTATAAGCCAGGGTTTAAGCATTTTCCTTAAAAATAAAACTCGGTTATATCCAACGAGCCGAAAATGAATAAAGAAATATACAAACTGAACTTATAAATGCATTTCTAGAATCAGAATACCTCTAAAAATATTATTTAAACCATCACTGTTACATTTCTAATACTAGTACTACAAAAGAAATTTCTTTTTCAACAATTAAGGCAGTGTCCGTACAAAAATGTAATGCGAAACACGCGCAGCCAAAAATCGAGTATTTATCATTTCTGTTGAATATAACCGATGTCTATCTTTTTTTATAATTGATACAAGATCTGTTATTCACGTTGTGCAGTGCTATATGCTGGACTAGAGGCCAAATTTAACACAGGATTTAACGCCAGGTGGGATAACTTCCTGGAGGGTAAGCTCCAGGTGGATAAGTTCCTTGTTGTTGACCATATCCGGGTTGTTGGCCAAACTGTTGTTGAGGGAATGGCGCTTGAGCAGCCTGTTGGATGTTCTGGTAACTGCCTGGTGGACCTTGTGGGAATTGATATGAAGCTGGAAAAAACAATATATTAGGAAAATTACTGAAAAAATGTTGTTCTTAATACTTAGCAGGATTTAAATTTCAATGACTTGACTATATAGTCCAGTCCAGCATATTTTTTAAGTTTAAAGTTAATAATTTTAAGTTAACTCAAATATATACTCCAGTCAATAATGGTCTTGGGACAGTATTAATATTAAGTGAAGTACGAAGAACATCATACTTACATGGATAAGGCATGGTTCCATATGGATTGTAGCCTTGAGGCATTGGCGGAGGCACATACGTAGGATAAGGAGCGTTAGGTGTAGCTCCGTATGGTACCGGCATACCCTGTCCTTGCACTGGATACGGTAGATATCCCGAAGCTTGAGACTGCTGTGGTGGTGCAGCTGGAGATGGTTCGGGAGCCTTCGGTGGTTCTGAAAATTTAAAAGATCTCACGTCAATATGCACACTTAAAAAAACAAAAAACAATATGAAATACTTAGAAAATACTGCACCTGTGTGATAGCTTGGCGTAGAAGGCTGTATGGGGGTTCCTCTGCTGGTTTCTTGAGTCAAATCTTTCAGTAGTTCTTCTTTTTCTGTTTTTCTGGCGAAGCAGAAGTCTGATACTTTATTTTGGAAAGTTACCAACATCTAGAATACAGAAAAATATCTTAAGTTCACTAAATTCGGAAATAATACAAAATGTTTAACACCGATTTTTAAGAGATTAAACCAAAAATAATTGTAACGATAATTACATTTTTTCTAGTTTCTAGGAATCGTTTGTATTTTTTTTTTTTTTTTTTTGACCATACAATGACTGACTCCGTGCTGTGTGGCCACTGATTCATTCCATTATGAATCAAAGTAACAATTTGAACAGATCTAGCAAATCTCTCAGCCATAGTTTAAAATTTCTTATGACATTTTTGATGTATTTATTTATAAATTAAGTTTTTGATATTTCTTGTATGGTGTTGGTGATTTTGGATAAAATAGATCTTAACGTAACTATTGGTTGTTTTAAATGCTAACGCTCACAACAAGAGAATCGAAGAAAACAACAATACCATCCGTAAAAAATTTATTAGAAAAATTAAAAAGGGTAGGAAATAGATACATTACACCAACAATCAATACAATGAAGCAAGATCTAGTTACCAATAACGAAAGAGGACGTTACGAATCAAAAGAGTAAACGGCAGGTCAGAGATACATGATATATAAATAACTACAACAAATACAAAAAGATCAAAATTTGATATCAATCTGAGGGTACAACAACACCTTTAAGAATTTACAGCTCTAAAATGTAAACATGACTGATGCCAATAAGAACAAAGGCAAATAAGTCAACTGTCAAATATGTATTCGCTCCTACTGCCAACTATACATCTTTGTTGGTGAAAAATCATTTGCGCAAATACAAAGCTGATCCTTTAAAGTACCTACATCAAACCTAATATTGAAACTTTGGTATAAAGAAATTTTCAAGCTATTTCTAAATTTAGAACCAGTATTATTTTCAAAATCAGATAGTACAATTTCAGGAGATCGTGTCGGTCAATTCATAATTCCTTCTACTTAGCCAATACTCCAATGTTAAGGTAAATGTATAAATTAATGAATCCAAACATAACATAAGCATATTTTACCTGTGTCAGGTCATTGTAGAATTTGGTGCCTTCTTGTAAGTTGTTCAATAAATCCTTAAAAGCGTCGTGAGCAGAGGCCAAAGAACACATCATCTGTTCTCTTCCGCCAGCAGTAGAACCCCTCTCAGACACGAATTGGGAATGAGCTTGCTGAAAACAATAAAAAAAAAATGTAAACACACTTTAAACAAAAGCAAAAATAAGTCAATTACATCATTTTTGAATTATTTATTGACTTAAAGTTGACTTTTTGGCACATTAAAATTCTTTCAAAGACTCACTTGTATTCTTTGGACCAAAGATCCTTGTTTCTCGATACTTTCGGCGACTTGTTTTTGTAGAGGACCGTAGATCTTGCCTAGGTTCTCGAAAGAAATAGCTGCCTCATTGATGACGCCTTCTTTGGCTAGAGCACCGAGGAAAGCATCTTTCATATCGGTCGTGGGACTCTTCAGCTCAGCCTCAATGGCTTCTCTTTCGGCCTTAATTGTGTCCACCTAAAAAAAAAGATATTAAAAAAAATCGAATCGTTTTTGAATTTTTTAATATCACCTCTTCCATTAATCCCCTCAAAGTTTCAACGGCAGAGGAATTTCCAACGCTTCCACCGTTTCCACTGGGCAGTGCACTGTGTATTGCTCCTGGGCCATTACTCAATAGTTCCATACCTTAAAAATAAATAAAGTTTATTATTTTGTTATTGATATCATTTTTTTTTTCATACAGGGTGCGGCAACCATAAAAAAAATTCACTAAACCCTGGATATGCATTCACTTATGTCAACATACGTTGATTTTTTCATAATTACGTTAAATCCAGAGGTATCTATGGAACAATGACATCAAAACAATAATATTGTCAGTCAATGTCAAATTTATTTTGTAGTATTGTAAAGCTTTAGTAATAGTATTATTGTAGTAATTGTAGTATTGTAAAGATTTACGAGGTATTAGATATTTTGTGTATATAGACATTTTTATAGATTTAAATTTGTTTTTTAGTTTATTCTCTTATTTAACTCAGTCAAATTAATGAGTAAAGATTTTTAAAACGAAGCGCGTACGGTCCTGATTTCTCAGTCTATCGCCAAACTACCACACACCTACCGCTGTGCTGACATGAGCGGCATCGCTGCGCACCGTAGGACCAACAACATTGTCTTTTATCTTAATAACCCGTATACTAACATAATAAAAACAGTAAATCTTTACCTTGTTTGTGGGTATCAAACTTTTCTCTCACAGTCTTATCGGCTTGAACAGCATTATTGATTATCTGTCTATATTTTGCAGAATTGGACTTAAACATTTCGGTAAGATTATCAGATGGAGTTCTAGTCCATTTTTCCTTGAATTGGGATCTAAGCGCATCGTCCGACGACTTTTCTTCATTTAACATTCTGTCTGTTTCATCTAAAATGTCTTGGTTTCTCTTCAACAGTTCTGGTAGCTCTGTGACCATGCGTTCTAGCTCACCTAGGCCTCCTAAAATAAATAATTACACATGAAAGGCCAAGTACCTATTGAAGATAACTCCGTGAAATGTTCCGTTAGTAGTAATCTATACATACCTAAAGAAATAATGGAGTTGGATTTTTCCAAAATGGACGGAGGTACCTCATCTCCACTACCGGTAACCTCGATAGCAGCAGGTAAATTCAAACTGGCTAAAAGACCGTTCAACAACTGAGACGATTCTCTTAATTTAGTGATCTCAGTATTGACTATTTCGGTTTTTCTGATGTCATAAGAAGCTAGAGCCTGATGGACTGCCACGGGTACTAACTCAGTGAACAAGTCGTTGAAATTTTGGCTCATTGGATGGGCTACTTGTAGCACTTTGGCGGGTTGAGCTTTACCTACAAATCGAACAAATATAAATACTAAAAACATACTAATTTTTACCACAACAGTTAAGAAACCTAAACTTTCAGCTAAAAAATGTTACTATTAACCTTTAAATGAGTATTTCTTGTTTATTAAATCATTTTTCCGGCAATAAACACATTTAAATCAGCAAGAAGTACTTACCGATTGGTTCAACACTTTTAATGTCTGGAATAATCTCGTGGTAAATGAAGTCGTTATCTTTTATAGCTTCGTTGAGGTTTCTTTCTACCCTAGAAGCTACTTCATTGAAGAACGACCTGCCAGATCTGGATTGTGCAGCCTTGAAGAGTTCATTAGATCTCTAAAAAGAAAAATATATGTAAAAATATTGTATTATGGGAAAAACTACATGATCAACGAATTTAGTGACTAAACTATAAAGGTGTGAATAGTTGTTCTTTGTTTATTGATCCTTACCCTCAACCTGGATATTTCTTGTCCTATGGTTTTATTGGCCTTGCACACTAGACTCTGATAGAACTCAGCTACAGCTCCAAGTGCTGCTTGTTTACCAGCAATCTGAAAATAACCATATAAATTATTATTGTTTCGATATTTGTAATAATTTTATTAAATTCCTTCTTTACTTACTGTTGGAATCCAATCCTTATCCCAAATGTGTTTGAGGTTATCTCTTTGAAATATTTTAAGGCATTCTGCATATAGATCTTCACACTGCGAAGCTAGTTTGGCGACAATTACGTCTTTCATGTTATCTAAAACAGAAACAAAGTATAGCATTTCGTAAAGCTACATCCATATATGATAGACGTCGAGAACGAGCTATGTGACAGAGGGTTTTTCCTTAAAGAATGACCTATAAAGAAATATTTTAGACTAAACATCAATGTAGGTTTTAGTCCGTTAGGGAATGTCGTGGTATTAGGCTAAGATATCAACTACTTCGTGTCAGATTCGCTAAATCATTATATTCCTTACTTCACTGACTAAAAATGTGCGTATTTCATAAAATCTCCTAGTTAAATCGTGTCACAAAGACTTGGCTTAGAAAACTGTCTCTTAGTTGCAAGAAAATGTCCCAAAGATTTTCAAACTGAAGGTGAATCCTTCCTTAACCGAATTGTGAAAGCTGGAAACTGAAGATTGACTCAATACACTCTTAAATCAAAGAATATTATCTTAAATAGGATATAATGATTTCCACCTTACTCCTCCCAAAGCACCCTTATATTAGCAAATTTTCGATAAATTAACGAATTTCTGTTCTGAAATGATGAAATAAAGGAGTTTCTTATATGATCTAGGCTTGAAAAGTGCATTAATTTTATGAACTATTATGTAGATAATATATTTTGGCACATATCTTGAAATGTCATTGCAAAATATTTATTTCTTTGTTGTAAACACAGTCTACAACAGCAAATACTTTGTGAATGACGATCGTAAACTGTCTAGACGTTTGTAAAATGAAAAATTATTAAGTTATGTTATATTATGTATATACTGACCATGTATGGCTTTATGTACGAAGATCTGTTGAGCTTGGGCCAACATCAGTTGAGAGAGGGCACCAAGAGTGTCTGGATTTAGATCTGGAGTAGGATCCTGTTGAAGGGCAAGCATCACTGTTGATTTCAAATAGTTGAAGATTCCAGAGGCTTGCTAAAAATAATGTAAAGACTTGGATTACTTAAGTTATGATTATGAGTTATGGTGTAAGCTCACTGTTATTCTTATATACAAAAATGTTCGATAACAATTTATAAAAAGTATCATATCAAAAGTAGTAGTAATCAACTACACAAGCAAAATTGTTCTCACTATTATCAATGAGAGACTGAAATGATACTCTTGCCACATATCCCCAAGACCAGTGCTGATTTATTCAAAACTCTCGAGAATTCAATCAGGAAACCTGGTACTTCTTTGAGTACTTTAAAACATCTTATTTTTCTATTAAAACGAATGTATGACATAACTACAACTATAACTATATAAAAAATATGTAAAAATGAATAACGTACATTCAAACTACTTTAAATAAAAAGCTGACGTTCCACAAGGATTCGTTATCTTCCCCATTATATTTAACATAAACAGTGAACATTATGCGTCTATATTTTGAAGAATGGCAAGTTGTAACAATATGAGGACAAACAATCAACAGCGTCCGATAAGCTGATGATATGAAAATATGACTAGAATGGACATGATAAGTGGAGACAATGGCTTAAAAATAAATATCCAGAAAAAAGAACGAAGTAGTTAGAAAAATTCATTTCTGTAGAATTTTGCACATACCATAGACAGCAACACTGTGCCAATAACTCTGTTCTATTAGAACTTGTGTGTGTTTGAGGATTATTCGTGTCGAGATCAATGTCAATTAGCAATCTTACTTTTATGGAATTATTTTTATATTTTTTATGTGGATGCTTAAAGTCTAAAGGAGTGCTCTTTGCTTTCTTCTCGTATGTTAGACGGGTATACATTCATGTTTTTGTTCTAATTTTACAAAGATAAATATCTAATTTTTTGTCTGCAAAATTTTTTTACCCTAATTTTAGAGGATAGATTAGGATACAAGTTAAACACTGACGAGTCGATCAGAGCATTTAGACGACAGGTGACAATTTTTTTACATAAAAAATGGTACATTTCTAATTACGAGAAAATCTCTCTTCTTCCCTTGAAAAGAGAATCCAATCTGTCCCTTATGTAGTGGGAGATCAATCTACAATTTCTGTTTGTGTATTGTCTTGTGTGTGAAGTGTTTTCTGTATTTTCTATGTTTCTGCGTTCATTCTAATCTTGTAATTTTGTAAATTTCGAGTTTTTAACCTATCCCCAAATTTCTTAAATTTATTTCAAAAATAAATTTTAATTTAAATCTAAGAAAAGATCACAACAGAGATAAAACTTTGAGACTAGAGGAATTAGCGAGGATACAAACAATATCAAACAATGGTTGAATAGAAAATTTGAGAAACATCACAAAAGATCGTGAAGACCAATCTACTTTTTAAATCTATTCAATTGCTGATTTAATATTCTTGTGAAATTGATTACTAACGACATTCTGTGGTATTTACACAACCATATCTTAAAATTGTTTATACAACAACTGATAACAATTTAAATTATACATAGATACATAGTTTTTTAATCGCTTTGATGTTAATGAGTAACTGAACTTTTTATGTATTTTTAATGTCACGAAAACAACAACAACTCATGAACTTTGTTAAAAAATCAAAGATGGTATCGTGAGTAATTTATTTGGTATCAATTGTATTAATTTTAAAATTAGAGATGTAATAGAGAGAGCCATTCATAAAAAATGGAATGGGAAAATTCTAGTTAATCAGGACCACATTTATGTATCTATTTATATACGATGTGTGACATATTTACTGTGATTGAGCTGTTGCAACCGTTACAGTGATAGTATCTTTTTTGAACTCTGGCGAGAACAGTCCTATTTATCTTTAAGATAAAATGAATGAACAATTTGAATTTGTGTTTCATTCACAGCATAACTATAATAAAGATCTGGTTTTATAAACACTCCTTTTGTAAACTTTACAGATCTTATTTTGTTCACCATGTATTTTGATGCAGATGGGATGTGGCGCAAAAATGTTTGCCTTAGCAGGGACATTGGGATAATTTTAAGAACGTGCACATAAAGATCGTGGATTTTTAATCAGTAGAACACCAGCCTCTATAGCTGACTAATTCGGGAACTGTAATTCTTCCTCTCAGATAAAAAATTTTCATCATAAAACAACAAAATCTTGAAAACACTTGTTTCCAACCTTAAGAAACTCTGTTTTGTGATAGCAATTTACCATTTTTTGATTCCCAACAAAAATAGTATATTGCATATAAACGATATTCAAATAATCAGCACACTTCATTCTCCTGTTGCCCCATTCAGAAGACATTCGTGAATATTTCCAAAAACAATCCAGAAATTAAAAAAAAACAATTTCAAACACAGTGCTAAATTTCAAAGACAGAACACAGTTAAAAAACACTACACAGCTCAATCATCAACATCCTAACAATAGCATTACAGGTTTGTTTGTCTGTTAACAAGTGAACCATAAGCTTGCACATCATCTTTTTATATGTCAATTCAAATACATATAGAATTATCTGGAAGCTTCCTGATTGTTCTAGGTTTAATTGCAGTTCATAATTATCTACAATTTTCCAGATTGTTCTAGACGGTTCTGTTGCATTGCAGAAAACCTTTTTAACTGAAAAGTGGAAGTCCTCTTTTCCAGGGAATGTAGTACTTTATAGTACCAATGAACAGTAAACAAATTAAAATTTTTGGGTTTGCCACGTTTAAAAAATTTTTTGGAATAGTTTTAAAATTTTTAGAAAGCTGTATCAAAACAACTTAGAAGTATATTGCCAAACTAAGACTATATAAGTCTATCATTTTCTCTTACAAATGATTATCAAAATATTTTGAACCCTTCCAAAGTTTGAAAAAGCATTTTTTGTACTTTGAGCAAAACAAAAAAATATGGGGCTCTTATTTTACACTGAATTTTAACATACGTTAAGTTCAATAACATCTGAGACAAAGAAGGTCTGAAGATCTGCCTGAATTTATGTAAACTACACTTCACATATACTAGCACCTAATCGATAAAGATAAATGCCTTGTACATTCGGTTTTAATACTGCCGGGCAATCCCCTACACAAATTTTTATAATATTGAAGCTGTTATTATACAAGGCTCGTTCTTAGAGAAGAAATGCATTGATAACATCCATAATGTCACATATTTATTTGATTACTACTGACTACTGAGCACTCAAGTGCTACTGGTAAATATTTATTATGTTTAATATGTATGAAATAAATTAACTTAAAAAAAATACATGTTGTGTATTCTGACTGAAATACATCAACTGTAAAAATAAAACCACGAGACATTCTACAAATCAGAAAATGAACAATTTTAATATTAATATTCAAAGCACCTCTAGGTTTAGTTTATGGCTAATTTATGGAGAATCCACCAGATATTATCTACATAAATATTTTATCATTTAAGTCAGCGTGACCTTAATTACCAGTAAAAATACAAAAGTATATATAAGGAGCATAAAACGTTTATCGCAATAAAAGAAGAAATGTTTTGGAAAGTTGTTTTCAGCAATTAATATTTTATTACTAAAAATTCTCGAATTATACGACCACATAGATTATTTCATATTTATAATTATTACTACACAAAATCATGCGGGTCCCTATACTTGAAACAAAAATGATGATGGACTCCACTTAAAATGGATAGAAATGTAACAGTTAAGAATGAATGCTTCGATGAAAAATGCTTCAATGAAATTATTTTTTTATCAAGTGGTGTGAGCTTTCAAATATGTAACCAGGGAACTGCCCTGAAGAAAAACTGAAAGAAGCAGTCAACCTTGTGTTAAATGTGGAAGTATCAGAAAAGTAGCTGCCACAAAAGGTACTGCTTTTCAAACTTTGGCAAGCTACACAAAGAAAGCTAAAGAAGTTGATGATGTCAGTAATATCCATATGTCACCTAACTACTCCATAAACAAGCCTTTTACAACAGAAAAGGAAGCTTCGCTAGAAAACAATCTATAATAGATTGCTCCCGAATGTTTTATGAGTTGTCTGTTACCGATTGTCATAAACTTGCTTACGAAATGGCTGTCCACTGTCCACAATAAAAAGAAAATACCTGAAACCACAATCAAGAGAGAGCAGGGTTAAAATGGTTTCAGGGATTTTGCGACCGACATAAACAACTCTCATTAAGAACGCCAGAAGGTTTTAGCTAGTATAGGGCTACCTCTTTTAGTAGACATAATGTGGGGATCTTTTTGAAAACCTAAGTCAATTTATTTAAGAACTGCCGACAGAAGAGTATTTAATCTAAACAAAACATCCACTATGAGAGTCCAGAACCCACAAAAATTCATTGCTGTTAAGGGGGTTAAGCAGGGGTAATTAGTGTAACAAGTGGTGTAGTGTTTCAGAGGTGATGACGCCCTTATAGCGGCCAGTCCGCTTCCAGATCGCTGGATGACAGAGGAGGTTCTGGTTTAGCAGGTAGGCAATCAGTGTAGACTCAGCGAGGAGAGGGCATTTTAAAGTACCTCGGGAACTATCTCCAGGAGTATGAAGAATGAATCCTGCACTAAGGTCAGGTGGCGTCCTGGACTGAGATATCTTTTGAAGATTCCAGACCCCCATCCTCTATAAAGGGTAACATATGGTGAGAGCGAAACCCTAGTAACATGTTGCATAGTCGGTGCTACAGGCCAGTATTTATCTCCAGCAATGATATTTCCCAGGAGCATATGCTACATTCGGTGTATGGATGAACGCTTATTTATTCTGTGCAGTAATGGCGCATTTCATTAAATGTTCAAACAGCTTCAAAGAAAGGCTGTCCCTTTTAATTTAGAATAACCAAGAAAGTAATATTAGCATTGCTGTTCTTAACCTAGCAAAAGCTGTAACAATTTTAATGATTCCACCACACTCTTAGAATAAATTACAACCCGTTCATGTAAGGGTTTATAAGACATTTTCAAAAGCATATAATGCTTCTGTGGATAGCTGGATGCTGCGACACCCAGGTAAGCTTCTATCCATATATGAAGTGGCAGAATGCATTGGCATTTCTCATTTAAAGTCCCTTACAACAAATAATATAATAAACACATTCAATAAGTGTGGAATTTATCCGTATGATGCAAGTGTATTTAGCGATATACATTTCTTGCTAAGTGCTGTTACTGATCACACATTTCCAGAAGAAAATAAGAATAATGAGTAAAATTATTTTAATTAAATGCAAGCAAGAGGTAATGAGGATCTTAGCACAGCAGAACCAGCAAGTGATGAAAACCTCCACATAACACAATCAAGAAACGAAGACCAAAAAGATATGCTTAGTAAAAAATGCGCCTTTCAAAGTTCTAAAGACTTTATGATATGATTTCTAATAGGCGTCAACATGGTGTAATAATCAGAAAAATGTAATCATCATTATATTGGAAATTTTAAAATTATATTGATTAAATAACCAAAAACATTTGTTATTATTAATAATATAATTTTTATGAAATAACTCAATATTCCACAAAATAATAATTTTAATTAAATATATTAGACAATTTTATGCAACTGATACAGAAATACTTAAAATTTTATTGACAGTTAAGCGTGTGGCAAAAGTGTATAAAGTGTTGCCGCTTTTTTAGAGTAGGAATTTTGTTTATGTTTTGATTTCTTACACAATTTGATCATAATATAATATATACCTATTAATAAATTGTATTTATAAATACATATTAAATTTAGATTAATAGCTTTAAAAACTAACTATTGTTGTGTATTGTGATTGTGATATGCCAAAACAAATACATAGTCTGTAGAAAGCTGATAAGCTTTCATATTAGATAGATTATTTTGAACAAGAAATAATGACATTTTTACTATTAAAGCCCTAAAAGGTAAGTTTAAAATTTAGAATATATAATTTTGTATTAAAATGTTTTCTTGTGTATTTTAATGTGTTGCAGAAGTCTTAAAATTAAGTGTATTTACTGTTAATATGATAGTTTGACAAATATTTGACATTTTAAATAATAATAATAATTCCTCACTTACTAACTATTCTGATGTTTTGGCAACACTGTGGGGTTCTAACGACCTAAATCTTGAATGATGTGCAAGCTTTTTTATATGAAAAATTCTATATAGACATATAAAAAGAAACATGAAAAGCCATTAACAAGATCTGAAGATATTTTATAGCTTGAGTTTGAAGTTTATATTTCATTTTTCAATACAGCTGATTTGAAAAAGGTTACTAACTTTATCCAGATTAATTGTAAGACAACTTCTTTTAGCTTGCCAGCTTTTCGAATATGAAAAATAATTCTCAGCAATATCAAAATAGTTATTCAAACTTTTTGTAAGCAAAAAAAGTTTTTTTTTAAATTCCTTTGATAAAATAAATCTCTCTTTCTCTCTCTCTATCTCTCTGTTACTTAGGCTACCTGTAGAATCATTGTAAGTTCATCTTTTCTGACCTGTTATTACAAAAAAATTGTTTACGAAAAACAAATTAAATAAACTAATTGATAATTCACTCTGAAATTTTAACCACATTTTAACACTATAAGACTCAACTTTCCACATAACATCAAGGTTATGGGTTCATTTTTAAAATGGCTATTAACATTAATTATTGAAAATTAAAAATTCTTAGGTTTTTTACACTTCTAAGCATCAAAGTAGTAAATCAACATTCATAAATTGTCATTTTAGAGCTTTAAATCTGTTTTATCAAATAATTACCTCCAAATATGTTCAAAATGCTTTACTTTTTACTGGTAGACAAAAGTTCTTAAAATAGTGTGTTTTGGCCCTAAATTATTAATAATTTAATATCAGAAATGTGACATTACAAATAAATAAAAAGAAAATTAATAAAAAATCAAAATAAAAATCACATTTTGAGATGCAATGATATAAAATATTTTTCTCAATATGAAAAATAAAGACATAAAAGATGGTGTCTGAAGGGCTCATAAATGGGGCCTTCCTTGATCTAGCATAACCATAAGGTTCATATTTCTCTTTATTTTAATTTTCTAATTTCTTTATATTTAGACCCAGCTACATTTCATGTGGATACATAGCACTAACCTGCTTGTCAGGCTCAGGAAGGATGTTATCATACTGGTCTCAAATGTGTAGATAATCAGAGAATAACTGGAGTCCTCTTTTACTTATAACAATAATAAAAACCAATCCAAAATATTGGAATCAGAAGAGAATATAAATAAAAAATTGTTGTGTGTATGAATATAAATAAAAAATATGTGTATGATACAGTATTATTACAACAATGAAAGCTAGAAAATGACTGTGTGGTAAAATAAAACAAAAGCAATAAAAGCTCCAATGAAAGATGCTTAAGAAAAAAAACTAAGAGTAACAATGCATCACACACATTATCTATCTTATATCTTTTGTGGAATCTTCTCTAATAACATTTTCTGGTATGATTTTAACATATACTGATATCAATCCTTTGACAATGCATTGTCACTTATACAGTACAAGAAGAGACTCATAAAATAACTAGTGAAATCAAATAACATAACTAGAAGTAGTATTAGTAGTAGGTCATCATCATCATCAGCAGCTCTACAACCCTTTCTGGGTCCTGGCTTGTTCTAGGATTTTCCTCCATTCTGTTTTGCTCCTTGCTTTGTTTTTCCAGTTGGTAATCTTTATTGTTTTCAGATCTTGTTCCACTTGGTCCAGGTATTAAAGTTTGGGTCTTCCCTTTGACCTTCTCCCTACTAGTTTTTGGCTCATTATATGTTTTGGTGTTTCAGTCTCCAACATCAGTTCAACATGGTCCATCCAGCTCAGACATTGATCTTTATGGATGTTATAACCTTGGATTCATTGTATGCTGTGTACAGGTAGTAGGTACAACAAGAATAAACATCAACAACAATATAGACAAACAAAACTCAGATAATAACAATACAAACCAAAAAAAATTATGTATATAAATTGTTTCAGAGAAATTTTTTAAAAAACTGGAATACTGAGGCCCTACATAATTAGATGAGAAAAATATTTGAGATGTCAGTATTTACCTGCAACAATTTAGCTGCCAATTTGAGTCCTTCATCACTCTCGACACTCTGGGCAGCAGCCACGCTACTCTGCAAAGCAGCTATATTGAAAAGGACACATACCTTCTCGAAACTCAAGGAAGAAATAGCTAAAAAAACCAATTGGTACTAACTAATAACTGTAAACAAATATTTTATTGGACATACTTAAACTCATCCTGGTTCCAAAAAGATTTCCTTTGTCAAAAGCATCTTTCCATTTGAAGGGCACTTGTAACTCCTGTGGGGGAATTTTCCCTTCTAAAGCCACTATTTGATCATAGTATCTAGAAGAGATAATTTATAAAATTAATATTTTTATTGCTGTGGGTGACAAGGATTTGGTTAATACACGGATGAATCATACCCATAAATAATTTCCAATGAGCTCTCGTATTTTTCAAAGGCCTTCCAGATAGCGTTATTTCTTTGCTTGGAAAACTCATTTATAGCTTCTGAACAATCTTCAGGCTTATCTGCAGTGCTGTACCGGGACTGAATTAAATTCTTTAAAGGAGTTATGATGTCTACATCACTGGGTTTCTTAAGAGGAACGGACAATAAATCAGCCATCGCGGTTTGTAAATTTCTAAAATGTTCAACAAAGATAACTAAATTAACAACTAGTCTAGAATCACATTCGTTTAAAGGCCGGCACTAAACAGTGTTGTTGAGAAATTATTCTACAATAAAATCAAAGTAAAAAGTATGAAAGTTAACTGACAACGATTCCTAAGAATTAAATTAATAACTGTCAATGTCAGATTAAACACATCACATTCCGTTGAAAAAAGTCAAAGATATTTTTTTTCAAACAGTGGTGGAACTTTAGGATTATAAAGGGTAGTCCAAATGGAAATTTTTAATATACAAAATAACGAAAAAGAAAAAATAGTCAGGTCTTCGGTCGAGGTGTAACGAGACTAAAAAAGTTGTACGAACCTTCCACAATCTACAATATCTAATTTTACATGTTGTATACTTAAATACGAAAAATCGTTTCTCACTAATCTTGCATTGATAAATGTGCGAATTAAATCGACTAAGATTCTTATAGCAATGAATGAAGCTTACCTCCACAAAAAATTACAAAGTTTTTTTATAAATCAAGGTCATTTAAACAATAACGATATCTATATACATATAAAATTATATGTATGAGCACGCCAAAATGTCCAGCATATGGAAAATAATTATAAACAGCCATAAATCCATAGACCAAGAGGTATAAGACATTAAAACCGAACATGGGAACGAATAAGCGAGGAAGTGCAATAATGTCTAGGTGGAAGCAAATCTTCAGATGCTTGGAGATTCATTCGAAATCTAAGGAGAACCGGGAACTTGAAGACTCAGGACGCTATAAAATGGACATTATATATACATGTGTCTTTATGCATGTTTGTGGGGAGAAGAATGGAACACAACTTTATTGTAAAGAAAGATAATTTAATTGGTCTATAAACCTACAAAATCTCAAACCGCTCAAGCGTGGTTATGTGTAGATGGTTGTTATGTGTTCTATCAATTCAATTTCAATTAACTCATCTTAACTACCTGCAAGAAGGGCTGTCCAGTAGGGTATGGTATATTAATGTATGTTGCTCAGAATAGAGATCGATGGAAGGAGTTGGGAGAGCGGTCTATTTCGAAAAGTGGATGACAGAAGGCTAAGAAAATGAAGTCGGGTTAGACGAAAAAAGGCCTAACCTTGCATGACGATTTATTAAGGTTTATGATTATAGCCTAGTTCTCTGTCCGGCTGCGGTAATGAGAATACAGCCTGGGCAAGTTATCCCTGCCTATCGTGAGAGGCAACTAATAAAAAGGAATGAAGAGGTGAAGAGCCGTCGTTCGAGTGTCTATACTCCTATTCTCCGATACGAGCCTGTCGTGGAACCATTCTACTCTTATTACACAGAACCAAGATGAGGTTAAACGTGCTGCGTCCCTCATACACCCCTTACCCATATGAACATATGCCTCTTGACGCATTGATCAAATACTTTTCTCTTCAGGCATGTGGGCAGCTCATTTTTAAAAGTTTCTTTCAGTTTTCCATATGCTGCCCATCCAATACCGATTTTTCTCATCAGTATAATTCAAAATATTTTTTTTTAGTTTTATTTAATTTGCAATTTTAATACGTCTTCAGATTTCAACGTTTTAGTCATTTGCTATTTATGACAACTTCATTGCCGATTATTCCTTCATTTACCCTTGATAAAACTTTCTAACAAATGTGACAGTATTATACACCCTTATAATCAATATATCCGAGTTGTTTGATGGGTTGATTGATGGGTTGATTGAGTAGCTCATCGGATGACACTGCCTGTCCCAAGCCTGGATAAAGGAGGGGGGTCTTTAAAGTGAGGTTAGCCACTTACCTGGGGTAAAGAATCCATACTGGCTCACAGAACTGAAGATACAGCCTCGGATACCGGACGGAACTATCAGATGATGACACGCTCTATGACAACGGAAAAAACGAATTGGTAAACGAAAACCTAAACACCCCATCATACGAATCGCGTGCTGGAACATAACGTTGTGGAACGAAAGAGACCACGAGATCATAATAGAAATGAAGAAACACAATATTGACATCTGCGCAATCTTCGAAACAAAGAAAAAAGGCGAAGGAACATCAAGATATCGAGAGTTTAGACTCATATACAGCGGAAAAGCTAAATAAATAAGCAAGAGCACATTCAGGAGTTGGAATTTTGCTGCACGATAAATATACGCAAAACATCGAAGATATCGAATACATCAACGATAGGTCATTAAAAATCTCTATAAAAATGCGTAACATCACAACACACCTGATAAGCACGTATGCCCCAGACATTTCTAAGCCCACAGCAGAAACTGAAAATTTCTATCAGCAACTACAAAACATCGTAGATAACATAAATGTTAAATACAAAATTATCGTATTCGGGGATCGTAATGCACGGATCGGAAAAGATGTCCTACCCGGTATTAAACAAAAGTACAACAATAATTAATGAAAACAGAGAGTACAAAACTCCTGTATAAGAACAAGATTACCAGCAAACTAAAAGAAATCGAGTTACAACCAAAATGGGGAGTAGAAGATACTTGGCAAAAAATCAGGAAATGCATCAACCAAGCAGCAGAAGAAGCAATTGGAAAGCGGAAAATTAACACGAGGGCGATAAACCACACCAAACCGTGGTTTTGTCAAGATATAAAAGAACTCTCTGAGTTAAAACGCAAATGCTAGCTGTGTAATCTCGGAAACCTTTTTTTTGGATGGTGCTAGAAAGATTACCAATGGAGACACTGCGGACGGCAGCCAGATGGTTGGTGGAGAGCGAGTCGTGGGTTCGAAACTAGCTTTTGGAACTAAGAATGGGTCCAACGTATGAAATAAGTGTAGATAGGATAAGAGATATTAGAAAAGATACAGAAATAAACAAAAAGATAGATGGGTAAAATTGCCAAAGATACGATAAGATAGAAACAGGGCGCCACTTAATTTTTTGGGGTTAAGGAGAAAATTAAGAAACCTTAGAAAAGAAAAGAGATAAGGAAAGATATTTAGGTTCAGGGTTATAATTATCAAATAAATTTGGTCAATACACTATATAAACAAATAATAAATATATTACTTACCTACGAAACTGAATCAACCTGATCTTTCTACTGGCCAAAGGGATAGTAATATTTAAAGGTAAAAAGCAAATACTCAGAGTTACTATTTTATCAGGGAACTTGTTAGGAGCCGACAAATAAAATACATACATAAAACAATAACAATATATTCAACAAGATTATGGCGCTGCTGAATGCAACACACGTAATAACAATACACCAACAACTATGAAATGGTGGTATACATATAAAAATAAGTAGTAATATAATTAGAAAATACCTTTACAAAGATATATAATACAACCATGTACAAATAAAGTTTTGTGTATCTCGAGATATTACAGCAAAAAAAATAAATAAAAGTTATAACCCACACAAAAGATATCAAAAATTAATCAATTCTAAATTTACAAAAGTACAAAAAGGTTACAGAAATGAAAACATAAAAATGTAACCAAACCGCACTTGGTTAAGTCGATTAACTATCTCTCACTATTAATTAATGAGAAACTGAGACTTAAATGTTCATAATTATTACTTATTGAAATTTCTTGAATCTATTGAAATGTTCTTTAAATTGAATACAAAAATCAGCAATCTACAGGTGAAAACATGGAGGAACGTCCAGATAATGGCAGATAATATGTTACCATACCATATTACTTGCCCAGATAATTTGAAGATAATGATTACTTATAGTAAATCCTGATGACTGCTGCCTAATTCACTGAAGTTAAATACTGTACTTAATACTTTACTTGTATCAAACACTAAATTTAATTAACATGGATGGTATTTTATTACTATATATAACTATATAATACTAATTATACTATTATACTATAAGATCAAAAAGACTTAAATAAACAAGTGTATACCCACTTAGAAAATAATTCACAGACGGTAAGATAACAGATACGATGTGAGCGAAGCGTCTCCGAGAAATGAACCTTTACCCCACAACTGTCCACCGAGAAGTAAGTCTTTCTTTGCCAAAATTTACCCAACTACCCAAAAAAAAAAGGAGAAGGGATATCTCCCACTTAGAAATCATAGCCAGTGGTATGTATTTCTGAGAAGGTAAGATTCTAACGACATCTGAAAGTTTGAGGTATTTACGGTAATAGTAATTGGACGTGATAAACATACAATCCTTTGGATTAGGTTATTGTACGATAACTATGTACCGACGATATTTACCGATTTTATGAAAAAGAACCCACCTTCACCGAAAAGCATTAGTTCCTTTCTTACTTAGGATTAAGAAGGAAAGGATTAACAACCTTTTGTACTTATGGAAATTCCGTTAAAAACTTAGGGAAATTAGAAATAATATAATATATTAATAATAAAAAAAAATGTTACACCTGTGATATAAAAGCACACCATCGGAAGAAGCTCTCGCAGAATATGTCCAAGTAAGAAACGAAGTAAACGCAAGAATAAAATCAATCCAAAGAGAACATTGGGCTAAATTCACCAGCGACATGGACTACGACCTACATGTTGCCCAAAAGAAAGTATGGAAAATGCTTCGGAACAGGAAAAAACCAGTTAACGAGTTCGTGCAGACCAATGGAGTACATATAGAGACATGGCAACAGCATTTTTAAGAGCTATATGATGCTGAAGAAACGCTAAATATAAACCAATACGAAGCAGATATAAGTGCTACAATCAATGACGAAGAGGTAGAAGCAAAGATCAAGAAACTAAAAAACAGAAAATCACCTGGAACGGATGGTATACCCAATGCACTCTTAAAATATGAAGTCCCTGAACTTGCAAGTAAACTGTCACAACTATTTAAGAAAATCTTAAACGACACAAAAACACCAGAGGAATGACATACGTGCATCCCCATATTTAAAAAAGAACAAAAAACTTGCCCACCAAACTACAGAGGAATAACCCTCTTAAATACAACGATGAAACTTTTCACGAGTATTCTTAAGGACAAATTGGAAAGGCAAATCACTAATGCTGAAGAACAACAAGGTTTTACAAGAGGGCGGTCTATAACAGGTGCAGTATTCATAATAAAACAAATAAAATAAAAAGCTATAGAGTTCGGCATGCCAGCGTATATTTGCTTCATTGATTTGACGAAGACGTTTGACAGGGTTCGCCTGGGAGACATTCTAAATATGTGTATTAATAGAAAATAAAACACCGACATATAAAAATAAACATAACAAAGATAGTCCATATCTAACAAACTAAACAACAACAAACTAAATAACAACAATGTAACCAAAGTTAGAGCAGGAGACCAATTCACTGTAAATATTCCAACACCGGGAAAAGTTAGACAAGGCGACAGTTTAAGCCCCTTCTTGTTTAACCTACTCATGGGCAAAATCAGGGATATTATCATATTGTCAGGGACAAAATAAAGAATGCGAAATCAGGACTTCCTTCAATGTTTGACCCATTGCTCTAAATGATTAAATCGTTCCATAAATTACATAGAATGTATTTGAAGATCATTTTGGTAAATTAGTTACTTAACCAATCAATTTTTCAATAGGAATCTGAAGATTTTTTTCGTAGAAATAAAATTCTGATAGTTAAAACTAATCATAATATAAAATAATATCAATAAAAGACTGTAATTTGAGGAGGTATCATACTCATACATAATAGAAAAGAAATTTGGAATGTCAAATTTTTTATTCCTATTAATTACTAATAAACTACACCACTGCTTTGTTTATTATCCTGACCTTTGATCTATCAAATCAGGTGAGTCATTATTATTATTTATAAGAAAGTATACGAAAATGTAAATATCTTTAATGTATACTAGAGTATATTTTTATTTCTAACTTATTTTAACAATTAGGAGATTAAAAAATATTTTAAAGCTTTTAAAAAAAAATTTGGATTCAAAGGATAAAAACTATTTACATGTGTTAGTAAGAGATACAACATAAAACTATTTGTGATGTTTGTGACAAGCAAAACATTTCCTGTTTCCGTTTGGAGGTCGTACACATGCGCACTTCGAATTTTTACAGCTCTAGTTGATCGCATTTTTGTTGGAGTGAGTTAAAGAATGGCTACGAATAATTATTTTGGATTTACTCACGGTGGAACTCAGTATGGGTAAGTATTGATAGTAAAGAAATAAATCTTAAACCTAGTGTGAGTGTTTTAGAAAGTTAGTTTTTTGTTACATAATCTGAACAGTTTAAAAAAACGTTTATAAAGTTTGTTACCGGCGTCCTTGATATCAGTCCCGTCATTTTCCACGATCAATAAAATATTGCCTCCATTTTGCACATGTTTTTTCTTTGATTTTTTTAGTATATTATGAGCTAACTAACAGGAAAAATGTACGTTCAGATTACACTAATACTGATTTACTAAAATACCCACATAATTCCTGTTGTCAGTGTGTCAACACTCTTAAAATAAGACATCTCATCCTCAGAGCAACTACTGGAGCTTACCAAGCGGGTCAGGCTGGTTACGCTGTAGCTACTCCTGCCACAGCAGCTGCAGCAGCTACGTACGGTACCCAAAGACCCACTAGCTATGACACAGCATATCAGGCTGCAGCTGCAGCCAGCCAAGGTACTTATGCTGCGGTAGGGACTACTGCTACTCCCGCCTATGAGTATGGATATGGTGAGCTATTACTATTTTTCTGTTTTAAAGCATGTGAAGATAAGGTAGAAAACAGTTGTGTAATTACACAAAAACTACATTATTGATTAGAGAAAATCTTTATTGACCTGGATTTTTTTTTTAATTTCTTTGTGGATATCATAAAAAAGTAGTGCTTGGCTTTTCTAGCCAAGAGGTTAGATTAATCCTTAATAATTGTTACTTTGTTTACTAAAAACCCAAAGACTACTGCTTTTAAACTATGTTTACCTCTTTTTTAAGGTCACATAACTATTTTTTTAGAGGCGTTAACCTAAAAAAATTCTACTGAAATCTTCAATTTTTAATCTATTGCTGCCATAAAATGTTTGGACGATTTTCACATTTGGTCCCATTGAAGATAGCTTCAAATGGGTTTGACAGAATGAAATATTGGTGTTTCTCAGTGTTGAAATTGACATTACAAACGAAACATACGGAATTAAAAGCAATAAGATATTTAAAAACTAATATTTAACGATTACGAAAAAAGGAAAAAGCAAATAGTTTTAAAACAGTTTTTAACAGTAAATAGTAAAATGTCAGTATAAATAATAAAATTTAAAAGGCATATGTTGCAATCTGGCAGCGGGTGGTTCGAGGGTTCGGACTCTATTGCCAAATCTATCCGCTAACCTACCAAAGGGCAATTGCCAAAAATTTTCTGATAATTTATTACAACTAATATTAAATGAAACAAATATTACTTCATTAATATTTTATATAAGATATAAAATTGCAGAATCCATAAAATAATATGATAAAAATGTACCTTTTACAAGCTTTATCTCTTTGTATTTGAAGCATATAACATATACATTATAATAACATGGCAACACTGCCAACCCAATATTTCGTTCTGTGAAACTTAATTGACAGCTAATTTGAGGCTATCTTCAATGGGACCAAATGTGAAAATCGTCCAAATGTTTCATTGGGTTTGACTTATTGAGTAAAAATGATGACAAAGTATTAGTATAAAATATTGCAAAAACTGCAGTATCTACTACTACAAAAGTCAACAAGCTAATGGAGTTATGTTTCTATAATTTTGTAATGGAGTTTTTTTTCTAATTTTGCTGTAGTAAAAATTGTCCATATATGACAGAATACTGTTTTCATATGAATAAATAATATGAATTTTCATTTAATTATATGAGAGTTCTTAAAACATTATTTTTCTTTCTGTTGGCTGCACGGTCTTTCATGAAATTTTATATTTTTTGTTTTATTTCACAGGTCAAACAGCTGCAACTGGTTACACAAGTGGTTATGATCAAACAGCTGCTGCTGCAGCAGCAGTAGCAGCTGCTGCAAAACCTGCTTCCTATGCCACTACTTATACTCAGAGAACTACCTCACAGCAGGCACAACAGGCAGCAGCAGTAAGACATTTCTATTATGTTAGGGCGAAGGAAAGTTCTTGTTTCTCTCAAGTATGTGTATAATAGAAAAGAAAAAAAGAAAACATTTAAAACTTGCATTATACAGTGTGTCCAATTAAGTCAGCACCAAATGGGAAACATGTATTTTTCATTTTAAGAAAAAAGTTATTCTTTATAAGTTGTTTTAAAACCTAAAATACAATGAATTACTATTTAACTGGGAATAAGCCATAATTAAAGATAAAAATATGTTTATTGACATTTCAATTTCCACTTTGGAAATCGTTCTCAAAATACAAACAATAAATTAAACAAATTTTGTTTTTTGTTACATAGTGAAAAATTCTTCTAATTTAATTTTATCTGACTCATTTATATTGACAATTCAGACATACATTATGTATTTTAAAGTAGACAACTTTAAAATGATTATCAACAGGTCCTCGAAGACACTTCGTCTCAGGGCCATTTTACCTATGTAGGGTCATATGTTGCCATGTTACCAATTCCAACAGTAACTTAAACATCATCTGTAACCATATATATTGTAAAACAACTGTAAATTTATAACATTTAAAGGGTATTGACCCATATATTTTTGTGGCTCATAGCATGTATAACTCGTTTACACTGATGATGGATTTAACAATCCGAAAACGTTTTGTAATTTAATTGTGATAGCCCGTTTGGGCATTTTATTATATACCTTTTATAAAGGATTTGAAATAGTTTTTTTTTTAAAGTACTACATATTTTAGAGGCAATATACCTAGCAGCAGAAAATGCCCTTTCTGCTTCCACACTTGTTCCTTTTAAGGCTTTATATGTAAATATAAGATTTTTTATTCACTTATTAGCTCGAGATGGTGACTGGCAAAGTACATTACATGCTGATACAGTTAACTAACTCCTATTGCAATTTAAGATAAAGATCGGAACCTGTAACTGAATCTCAACATTGACATTTATTACTTCATCACTCTTTCGTCATCATTGCTATCAGATCAAAATTTAAAGGCAGAAGTTCATTCTCGTTACAAAATGGTTAGTTTCTTTTTTGGAAGTAAACTTTGGTGGAAGATGAAATGTTTCTTCATTACACGATGCATGGAAACTGAGGATTTTGGAAATAAATCAGTGGTTGAGTCAGATTTCTATGTCATTGTAAAATGCATTGGCACAATGACAAAACTAATTCTGAAGGTAACATTGAATGATTATCTTCCAGTTTCTTGATCATAAATTTGAGTGTAGCTTCAGCAGTAATAAGATTGGCATCTTTATGACAAAGCAATTTGATTACTGGTTTCAAGATATTTTCTAGATTTACTAGAGCATCAAAATCATGTTCTAAAATGTTCGTACTAAGGCCCAGATCAATCAATATTTCAGCAATGCACAATTTCAATTTGTTCAATGTTTCTACTATGGTAGCCAAACTACTCCATATTGTCCTACAATCTCTATCTAATTCTATCTTCGTCCAAATTTTTTCTTTATGTATCCCTGAAGCACATCATTTTTAGTTGGTAAGCCTTTAAACATCTGTACAATTTTCCAAACCCTGTTGATTATATTGTTAAAATCAGATATCAGTTTTTCTTCCATCTCCGAATACACTTTCTTAACTCCGAATCCACTATCTTTACACACTTCAGGTATATTTGATCTGTCCTCATCGTTAAATATGAGCCCTAACAACTATATGTTGGAACAAGCAGCTATTTTGCAAATAAAATACAAATTTACTGAATTATAGTTTATTCGTCTTCCGGGTTTGGACCGTGTCATTTGTGAGTGACCCAAAAGTGGGTTCATCTCGACGTTTCGCTACAATTATATGTAGCTTCTTCAGGAGAACAAAGAAAAAGAAAAAAGAAAACAAAAGAACAGGAAGATGGGTAGTTAGCAACGGTAACTCAGTTACTCAACGCAACCAGAGGCGAATACTAACTACCAAGATGGGCATTTGGTCACAGTAACTCAACTACTCAACGCAGCCAGAGGTGAAAACCAAATGCCAGGACAGGGATTCACGTCCAACAGCTCAGAACACTAACGCGTCGAGAGGCGGGGAGTGAATCCCGCCTCTGGTTGCGTTGAGTAACTGAGTTACCGTTGCTAACTACCCATCTTCCTGTTCTTTTGTTTTCTTTTTTCTTTTTCTTTGTTCTCCTGAAGAAGCTACATATAATTGTAGCGAAACGTCGAGATGAACCCACTTTTGGGTCACTCACAAATGACACGGTCCAAACCCGGAAGACGAATAAACTATAATTCTGACTCTGGCCGTGGAAGCCTACGATTTCAAATTTACTGAAATTCTTTTATTTTAATTTTTTTTAATTGTAATAATGAAATTAATATTTTTTACTATGTATGGAGTTATTTTTACAGTTTAATTATATATTTTACGTTGATTACTATTTAATTAATTGTTTGATTGCCAAAAAAAATGCTAACAACTAAATTTAGAAGAACAAGAGGTTTTTAAAAAATTAAATAAAAATTAATAAGGCGTAACAGTGCCTTAGCTTGAATAACAGCCCGAAATCAATTAGGCATTGTATCAAATATACCTTCATAGAATTCAGGGGTGAAATTATCCCATATTTCTTGCAATTTAGCACACAGTTGTGACAAAGTATGCTGAGGGTTATTTCTTAGGCATTATTTCAGTTTGTGCTAAAGTATCTCTATTGGATTAAGATCCAGTCTGCTAGAAGGATGTGACAAAACTTTAACGTCATGCTATCTCATCCATTTTTTTGGTAGTTTTAGCCTTATGACATGAGGCTCTCTCCTGCTGAAAGATAAAAGTCATTAATTTCATATTTACAATTAAATAAAAGAATTTTTTTGGTAAATTGGCATTATATTTATTTATTTATATATGGCATCCATTTACTTACAATTTTTACAAAGTTACATCTTAAAAACATTATATTATTGCAAAATAACTGTTTGTTCCAACATATAGTTGATAGGGCTCATATTTCAGCCTCAAAATTCTTAAATGGATCATCTCACTTTCTTCTTTTTTTTATATATAAAGAACATCTAATATTCGAAGCTGCAACCCACGGGCATAGCAAATTTGTTGAAATGCTTTAATAAAACTACCAGTTTTAACCATAATTGAGGCTCCGTCAGTTGTAATTGCAACAACATTTTTGTCTAAATCAAAGTCAAATTCCTTCATTTTCTTTTTTAAGGTTTCTTAAGCTGTTGCTGGCATAGTTCAAAAGATACAAGTAAGTCCTAAATTCCAAAACAAAGCACGATCATTTGCGTAGGCATGGATGTTGATGTTTAGATATCACCTGTTACCTGTAGATTATCACTAGTCAAAACTGAGCGAGAAATGGTGCTCACTTTGTTTCAATTGTGACAATTCATGGAAAACTTTCATATGAAGAGTCATTCCATAGTGCATAACTATAATCAGAATAAATGTAAAGATTGAAGCAGAAGAAAGTTTTTTGATTGATACAAATCTCGTAAAGCTTCCAAATCCACTGAAGGGTAAGCTGTCTTTTGCAGTCATACATGCAACTCCATCCATGATCTTCATTCGCTTTGACATCGGATTAGGCTGTGGTTCTGGAGGTAACACACTGGAGGATGAACTGGTACTCATACTTGATGACTATGCTGCATTTTGGGACCCTTTTTTGGTTAAATTCTCTATAATATAATGCTTAGATTTCAAATGCACTTTTAATCCTTTGATTGATCTAGCAGTGTTTTTAACCCTTTCACTGCTACATAACGTATGTCTACCTTGAACTAGCGCTCAGTTCCTACTGGAAAGGAAAGTGATAATGTGCATGTGTCATGGATCTGTGCCATGCGCACTGTCTGAAAACTCAGCCTGCCACGGATCCGTGCCATGCGCAGTGAAAGGGTTAAGTATACTATTGCACAGTTTACATTTTGCTGTTAACGCATAATTAGATTTAAGAAAATGCTCCCAAACATAAGAATTACAAGAAAAGTCACTGTGTTGCTCTGGACTTGGACATTTTTATGTTTAATTATAGCATCACTGTATCAATAAACTTCACATGAAAATACGAAACGGTTAATAACTTGAGTTATTTCCTTAATATATTTCCTTGTGAATATATTATTGAGATATGTCAGAGTGAAGAATATTTCACTCGGAGATTCCTCTCCCTGCCACGAGCCCTGCTGCGCGACGAGAGCGCTGTTCTTTTGACAGTGCGTCTCCAGTCGGTTACGGTTGCCTGTTCACGGAGCGCTGGCTAGAGGTTGAATGTACGTTTTTTTTTTCAGTCCAAAAGTCCCGCGCCTGTAATCACGCGAGATTGCAAAATGACGAGGCATCCCACAATATCGAGAACTTAGTATTCTGGGATTGGAAGCTCTAAATTAGACCCATATGGGGAAACTTTATTAGTTATAGGATAAAAGTTATTCTTTATAAAAAGTTCTGTATGTTCTAAAAGCTAAAATACAATAAATATTTAATTTTTCAGATATATGCAGTTTGTCGAAAAATGTGAATTGTAAATATTGTTAACTCTTACATAAAATTCATATTTTTGACAAACTTTGTATATGACTGAAAAAATTTAATATTTGATGATTGTATTGTAGGATTTAGATTATTCCTAAGTTTTTTTGTAAAACTAAAAATAAAATTTTTTCCCATATGGTGCTGACTTCATTGGAGTATATTGCACAAATATGTAGATAAAAAATATTTTGTTTCTGATTTTTTAATCTATCCTAGAGCAGAACATTTTTTCGCCCTGAAATTAGATGAATAATCAAATAAAGAGCAAACATTTGTATTGGTAATATAAAAAAATTGTTTCAGACAGCGGCAGTGGCTGCCGCGGCAGTGGTCAAGCAGCCTGCACAGTACACAGCCACATACCAGCCCACAGCAACAGCTTACCAGACTACCTACCCCCAACCTGCTGCTGCACAGACTACAATAGCTGCTCAACCTACAACACAAGCCAAACGTAAGTACCTTTCCTAATAACATTTGTGTTAGTTTTGGTATTTTGTATTGTGAAAAATGGGATCTCAAGGTTCAGGTATACAAAAATTTTTGTCACCAATAATGGTACTATTGATTAATTATTGATGATATTGAAAGGCTTCAGGGATTGAGGTGAATGAAAATATAAGGTAATGTTGCCAATAATGGGAGGAACACTATGAAAATCCTAAAAATGGATAAAAAATATTACAGAAAAAGCTCTGGGTCATCACATGAATTTGAGTGTAATTAGTGACACCCTATATATCTAATACACATTTTAAAAGTCTTAATTTTGTGTTTAGTGATTCGTAAGTTTTTGGCTTTTGACTATATTTTTTCACTATATTATCATTTGTCTAATATCTAATGCATGAACCTTGGGTAACATCATTTCGTTCAATCCTCAAAATTGTTAATTTTGTGTAGAGACTAATTCTACCACAACATATTCAGGATATGATGCTGCCCTGTATTCAGCAGCTACCATGTACGTAGCCCAACAGTCAGGCACTGCCCAACAGAAAGCTGTCGGCTGGCAAAACTACAAGAAACCAGGTATAGGTGCCAAAACTGCAAGACCAAAGGCACCTCCAAAGCCTCAACAGTTGCATTATTGTGATGTTTGTAAAATCAGGTAAGATGTTTTTCACCCTTAACCCTACATAACCAATCCCTAACAGTATCTTCAGTTTTATTAATCTTAAATAACTTTCCAAGGCTATACATGTGGCTATATATAAAGATTTGACAAGCTCTGCAACTTTTTCTATAGCATTTTTTCTTTCTTGTAGTTGTGCTGGTCCCCAGACTTACAGAGAACATTTAGAAGGACAAAAACACAAGAAGCGAGAAGCAGCCACCAAAATGGCAGCCTCTGTTGCTGTTACTACCCAAAACCGTGCTGGGAACTCTCTAAGATGTCAGTTATGTGATGTAACTTGCACAGGTAAGGTTATTCACCCACATAATTGTGTCATCTTTATTGATGGATCAGTAGATAGAAAAAATAGTATATTGATTTATGTACTGCTTAATTTTACTATTAATCTTGAAATCCTAATATAAAACATTTTGTTTCTATTATAGGTAATGATGCTTATGCTGCCCACATCCGTGGAGCCAAACACCAGAAGGTGGTATTGCTACACACCAAACTAGGCAAACCTATACCTCCACAAGAACCAGAAGTTCTTGGAGGAGCCAAGAAATCAGTTTCTTCCACTCCTAAAATCAACTTTGTAGCATCAGGAGGCTTAGGTGTGGCTGCTGGCAATGGAGATGCATCAAAAGATGAAGATGATGAAATAATAGAACCAGATATACAGCCTGTAGGACAAGATTATATTGAGGAGATCAAGAGTGATGATGGCAAAGTAAAAAATTAAGAAATATAACTAAAATATTGATTTATATCTAGCTTTCTATTATGTTGTATATAATAATGTATTGTTTTTAGGTTATAAGCTTCAACTGCAAATTATGTGAATGTAGATTTAATGATCCAAATGCTAAGGAAATGCACATGAAGGGCAGAAGGCATAGGTTGCAGTACAAGAAGAAGGTCAATCCTGAATTAGTAGTTGACGTTAAACCATCACTAAGACAAAGAAGAATCCAGGAAGAGAAAATGAGAAGAGCTGTAAGTATATATACCAGTTTTTTTTCTTTACACTGCTATTGAATAAAATAAATTTATACTTGACAGTTGTTCCATTTGTTAAATATTCCAATTGTTTAACAGTGTTTTTAGGCTGTCACAGAGGATAAGTGACCATCTTCACCCTGTATTTTATGAGTTGGAAAAAATACTGGTTTTGCAAGGTCATACAATTTTAAATTGCGTGGGAATAAAAATAGGAGTACAATTGAAATTATATGCATTTTTATTTTATGTAATTTTTTTAGGCACTAAGAGAAGAGTTCTGGGCTCGTCGTCATTATCCTGATGTAAATGAAAGTCTGTATTGGGAAGAACAAAGAAGATATGAAGATGAATATATGATGGGCCATGGAAATATGCCTTTCCAAAGAGGCAGACCCTTTCTACCTGGAGGTCAAGCTCCACCAGTAAGTAAAGAGCTAGTATAAAACCATATTTTTATGTGCAAAACAATGATTTGCACATGATAGACAGTACCACCTTTTCTATTCTAGTTTTTCCAGGGTGTTTTGACTCGTAGAACTGAATCTAGCGATGATAAACATGTTATGGCGAGACATGCAGAAATTTATCCTAAGGAGGAAGAGCTACAGGCCATTCAACGCATCGTTTCCCATACCGAGAGAGCACTGAAGGCTGTTTCAGATCAAATGGGTGATGGTAAGAACAAAGCTCCAGAAGTGAAACCTGATGAAAAGGCAGAACCACAACAGAAAGAGGATGGACGTGACAATCAACTGTAAGAACAACCAAACAGTTTTAGACTCTCAAAACTATAAAATGATATTGTTTCAGCTTCTCCTTCCAACAAGGTGATCAGAACCGTATCCTAAAAGGTGTTATGCGTGTCGGACATCTTGCTAAAGGCCTTCTCCTTCGAGGCGACACAAATGTTGAATTGGTGGTACTATGTGCTGATAAACCTACCCTCACTCTTCTTAAGAAAGTCGTAGAAATCCTTCCATCTGCCCTGAAGCAAGTGGCCCCAGAGAGCGGCTACACCGTGGCCATCAACGCTTCCGAGGCAGGCTTGATCATCGCCGGAGATAGTTTGACGGTGTTGGTACAGTTCACGAGTCCCATAATTCGGGAACAACCAGGTAAAGGGGTGGGGTAAATTAAGAAGTGAGAGAGTATGATTGTACAGTACTGTGCAGGGTTTAAGCTGGATTTTCCTTTTTTGCATTTGTTTTTCTAGAGGTACTGCTGATAATGAAGGTGTATCAAGGATTTGGAGGTGAAGAAGAAGAATTGCGGCATTGATGAAGGTGGAATACACAAGTTTCAGGCTTTCGGTTTCTTCTTTTTTCATTTTTATGGCAATGTTGGCTTAATATCTTTGGCTTCATATTATTTTATTAGTTTTTTTTTTCTAAATTTTAACAAATTTTTGAAGAACTTCACCAAGAAACTAAGTTCCAAAATGTCTATGTTGTTTATTTATTTCTTTATTGAAAATTGAGACTATCATTAATATCTACATTTTTGGCTTTTGCATGTTTTTAATTGAAGAGGATTTGCAGCCAAAGTTCGTCTGAAAATCAAAAACTGAAAGTTTCACATGATTATTTTGTTCTTACCAATCTTTATATTTATTTAAAATATATTTCTGAATTTTCAATCTTGTTACGGAACTATATTGCATACAGCAGTATAATACACATGATTTTTATTATAGTCTTGTGATAATAATATGCTACTTTATGTTCATTTCTGATTGTTCTACTCTTCCTATATCACAGGTACCTATACAAGTTCTAAATTAATTCTAAAACGTTTTTATTAGCATTTCTCTCCAATAGTTGGTTATAATCGACAATTTGTTTGGCTGTAGATGATATTAATCATCATATCAAAAATACTGAATGGGAATTAAATCGGGTTCAAACAATGTCTACTTTGTAAAACAACGGAAGCAAAGTTTTAATATTGATTCTATTATTTCTATATGATGCGCCTTAGGTTTACTGCAACAATTTTCAAGGACATTTGCAAAGAAAATATTTCTGAATGAATGAGATTGTAAAGCAGTTCAAAAGACTTAAATTTTACGATAAGAACGATTTTCTTTCTGCTAAGAGATTTTATTTAGTAAACTAATAAACACATTTTTTGTCATTATAATTACATTACAATATATAAAAAAAGTCTTCATATGAGCCTGGCATATTTTAATTTTTATAACATGAATTTAACAACATTGGAGATATTTTTAATGTTATTTGCAGGAAGAAAAAACATTGAATTAGAATTTACATTTTGATCTGCTACATAAATGTATGTCAAAAAGGTCGCGTTTATGAGAAACATCGCTGTGTGAACCCTCGATAAAATCATTCAACAGAACACTAAAATTTTACAGGGCAGAGCCTTGCATACTTTTTGATATGTCGACTGTCAATCTCTCAATGGAATGTAAAATTGTCAATGTTTCACGAAACTTTAAATTTTAGCATTACGACTGTCACCGGTTGGTGTTTGAGAATTATTTTAACATTTTGTTCATACATCTCTGTTACAGGCGACCAATAACTTTCAGTTGTATATATTCTTTGAAATTATTTTATTTAAAATAGGTTTTAATTTTTACTGTGGAGTAAGCTTGAGGTTATTTGAAAGAATTTTATGGGCAGGACAAGACTCTGAATAAATAGAGTTTGAACATAACAATGGAACAATAATGGGAAACAAAATGTTTGAATCGAAAATGCGAAGGTTTCAGTGACAGTTCAATTTGAATTGACAGAAAATACAAAAGAGGAAAATCGATAAATGTAATGTTCTGAAGAATATACATGACTTTAACAGAATGTAAGGTGTATTCAGGATTTTAGCAAATGATTCTTTAAGTTTACAGAAAATATAACTCTTAGTACTATCTGGGTAAACATTTTTGGTGATGGTTCTTTTATTAATATGGATTAAATACTAAAGTTACTCTTTATTTTTTTCTACTTCATTGTTGTAGTCACCACGCCAGGTAATATTTGTTTATTTGGGTATATATTGTTTATTGTGATTTACCTTTACAACTGAAAGTTACACTACCAGCATTTAAAAAAAATCTTATTAACGGGATCTTCAACAAAGCTTGGATTCAAATGTATGGTTTATTATTTGGGCCAGCTTCTGGGCATAAATAAGCCTTCTGTCTGCGTAGTCAGTTTAAAGTATGATTCGTTTATCTTCCATTTCTTTAAGGATATCATATTTACGAAAATCATAAATGTCTGAAAGGCTCCTAATCTGATTTTTGCTTCTAACTGGTTACGCTCTTACCATAAACACGGTCATTGATCGCAGTTCATTGTTTATATCATCCTAAATATGTCTTTAATAAGTTTCACATATTTCCAATAAGGGGATTCTATTTTTATGTAAGCTTTTATTGGAAATATGTGGAAAATATACTCTTTTGTCTTTATTCTTTTGAATTCTTTATCTGTATTTACCCGAGTCAAATTTTTTGTATAGATTTTACTTTTTTGTATCTTTAGACTATGTGTCTAAACGGTCGGAATATTTCATGATTTGAATTGAGCTTTAAAGTACTAATTCTTTAAATGCGTTTTTTTCATTTCGAAGATTTGGTGGTGTCACACACCAATTATAGCCTGAATTTCTCAGTACTTTATATAAAAAAAGATCAGTTTTCTATTTGTCTGAACTTGGACTCAAGCTTTGTTAAAATTCCCCGAATTATTGTTAAACTTAGCTTAAGTACTATGTTAGTTTTTATGAATATTTACCTTATATAAATACACAGCTTAAACCTTGGTGATACCTAATAAATATTGGACTTTTTTACAGTTGTATTCAACATTCTGTATCAGTCGCCTGAATATGGCGTGACTTTTAACGACGCGACTGATACTAGCTAACAGAAGATTCCACAACATAGAAAAGAAACACAATATGTTCAATAATACAATGATCTTCTATTAGAAGAGTTGCATAGATGGCAAACATCAATGGGCTTAGTTAACCACCTTGAGGAACTTCAGTTTTTTATACATTTTTATCGTTTATATCGGGTTTTTTATTGCAGTTTGAACCTTTTTGATTTGTGTAAGTTATAAACCAGATTTTAGAGGCGTTTTCTTCGATTTTCTAAGATTGTTGAACAAAAATTTACTATTTTCAAAAACTTTTCTTCTATTACAGCTTCAATATTTATTTTACATCTAACATGCTCAATGTTAAAATGATCCGATTAAGTTGAAATTATTACTCCAAAATAAATTATCCTTCGCTTCTATATATTTTGATGGTGTAACAACACACAATCGATGATTTTCCGTTGTTTTACCGAATATGTCAAGAGTTTTTCATACCGATTTTTAGATTATCTAGTGTATATTATATCTCACGGACACTAAACTTATTAAAAACATTTATGAACAGGCCACATTCCACATCAAAATCAACGAAGACGAAAAAACGGAAAAAATGCGTCTTGGTAAAGGTATTAGACAAGGTGATACTATTTCACCAAAGCTTTTTACCTTAGCATTGGAAAAAGTATTCAACGGCTCGACTGGGAGCAACAAGGTCTAAACATGACGGTGTACATTTGAGTCATTTGAGGTTTGCAGATGGCATAGTATTATTTAGTACAGATATCAAGGAACTGGATCAAATATGCTCAAGGAATTAAATCAGCAGTCAAATAAGATGGGTCTTAAATTGAATATATCGTCAAAGAGAACCAAATAACCGGAATAAAAAGACGCATATAATTGTTTTGCGTAGCTTTCGGCAACTTAAGCTTTATCTTGAAGAATAAAGATATACTAATGTGTCTAAAACATAAAGTTTATGGCATGTATCTTGCCTGTAACTACATATGGACTGGAGACCATGGCCTTTACAAAGAAAACCTTATAGCAGCTCAGTACAACCCAAAGAGCGATGGAGAGGGCCATGCCAGGGATTAATTTGAGAGACAGGATTCGAAATATCGACATTCGGGAAAGAACAAAGATTACTGATGTCGCAGAACGTATAGCAAGGCCAAGTGGCAATGGGTCGGACATGTTGCCTGAGATAATCCCGAAAATTAACAAACTGGAGACCAAGAGAGAACAGGCGAGGAATAGGCAGACCACAGAAGACGTGGGCAGATGATATCAAACAAGTTGCGGGCAAGCAGTGGATGAGAATTGCCAAGAGTAGAAATCAATGGAAGCAAATGGAAGAGACCTATGTCCAGCAGTGGACGAATACAGGCTGAAGGAGGAGAACTAAGATGTTATAATTAACATTTCGATTTCAACATGGAAAGTTTTGATATCGAAAACATTTTTAATTAAAATAATGCTTTATTCTCATTAAATAAGTAGATAATATAGAAATGCCATAAGAAAATAAGTTCCCGACCATACCAATCTCTAGGATTTAAGTCCTCTATATGTTAAATGTGCTTAGTCACACTATTATTATCTTGTGATTAAACACTTCCTTATTTTTCAATTGTATTTTCAACAGTAACAATTATATTTTCTCCAGAAAATTTCTTGGTTTTATAAATATTTTGTGATATATCTGGTAGCCGTGCTTCTCCAAAATAGCTCTTTGATATGGTAAACATATTATCTCCGGGTTTATAAACTATACAAATTTTAAAAGAGGCTAGAAATGCAATGAAACATCCACTATTTTGATCGTTTTTAAAATAACATCTTCAGTCCAATACTTATAAACATGTACTGTGCTTTATGCTTGTTTTAGTGGTGATTTTAGGTGGTGTGGGACTGAAGGATTTTTGACCAACCGGCTCATCGCCGCCACATAGTTTGGGCCCCACTTTATATATTGGAGCCCAGGCTGGCGGTGGCGATGGTGAGCTCGCGATGGTCAAACACCCTTTTTCTTGATGTCTAGAAGCTGCAAGCGGTGGGTTCGACCGGGATGTTCTGTCACGCGGCAAGTGTCTCCAGGCGCTGGCAGCCCTCAGACATACCAAATGGTTCCAGGTTTGTGTCTTCTCTCACACCCGTGTATTGCACTTTGGCTTTACGAATATTTTTTAAGAATATATCAAGTATATTAAGAGCATTTAAAAAAATAATAAGGAAAGGGGAAAGGTTCAAAGAAAAAG